CGGCCAGATCTACGGCTCAAAACCTGGGGCTACTCCTGGGAGACGGGACCAATGTTCCGGCCCTGAGATGGGACCCGGAGACCAGGCAGCACGTGCAGGACAAGGCACTGGAACCCCTGACGGTCCCGTCGATCAAGGAAGCCTTGGAGGAGTTGATGGTCTTGAGCACCAAGCATCTGGTCATCGCCAGGTTCCACGGCATGCGGAAACTCAGCGAGGAGTATGCTGCTCCGACATTGGGCATGTTCTTGGAGATAGGGATGCGCACCTCGGAAGCCCACGCTGCCTGGAACCATCTTCATCGTCTACAGCAGTCGGCAGCGTGGAAAGCAGCAGGCGTCTTCCTCAGGCACGAACGCCTGCACATGAGCGCACTTGCAAAGAAGGTAGCGGCGCTCTCCAGATGACGGAACGACAGATCCTTGCGGTGAAACTCGGCAATAGAAGTAACTTCTGCTACGCGAACTCGGTCATCAAGGCTCTGTTGTTTCTGTCCAGCAAGGAGAACCATAGTCCAAGTGTTTTCGGGGAAGGCCACATTGCTTTCCTGCAGGGGCTCATTAGGAAAGCCGGTGCATCCGTCGTCCACCTTTGGATGCACCCCGTTTGGCTGGGGACGATGCGAGGATGGCGGAACCCGTCAAGACAACATGATACTGCTGAGTTCTTACAGTTTCTGTGTAGCGGCACTTTGCTTCGCAGTCCTTGCATCGAAACTTCATGGCAGGCTAGGTCTCAGATGGGGACAGGGCCCAGCGCTGTCGTGGATAGGGGCAGCTCTGCTCCTCTATTGTTGCCTTCTCCCGGTGATACCAGTGAGGATGATAGCCTGAGGGTCTCGATTCAAGGCCTGATCCAACGGTGGCACGCACAGGAGCAGATGCATGCCATGTTCATTCCGGCTGAGGCGATAGTGTTTCAGCTCTGCCGATTTGATTTTGTTGCGGGAGAGTCTAGAGCTGTGAAGCGTCGCTATGAGGTTCAGATTGATCCGGTTGTCAGAGTGCCTGCTTTTGGTCAAGACCTGCAGTGCCACAGCCACTCATACCGCCTTAGTTCATGCATTATCCACCTGGGCGATGCCCCAGATCACGGCCACTACCACAATGTGTTTTGTAGCGCTGAAACTCTCGAGTATTATGTTGGTGACGATGGCGTCTCAGCTCGTCCAATAGACGCTACTGAGATGCATACTCTGTGTAAGGACGTTTATCTGCTGTTTTATATTGCTCAGAAGGCCGTCTAGTCTAGTCTTGCTCTTGGGCACTAGTGCCGGGGACTAGCCCCGAATGCTGGGTGGAGGATGTGATAATTTCACAGCTTGCCGGGCTTAAATGCCTGTCCTCCTATGTCGTAGCAAAGTCGCAGTCTTTGCATCGAGGAAAGTGAAAGTGAAAGTATGTACGCCGTACGCAATGCATCGATAGATAGACAGATCAATAGGTAGGTAGATAGATAACTAGATAGATACATAGATAGTTCGACAGATAGATAGATGGATAGATAGATAGATAGGTTGATTGCGGGATAGACACGCAGGTAGATAGATAGATGTACACGTAGGTCGATAGATTGCTAGACCGATAGAGCGGTAAATAGCTACTTAGCTAGGTAGCTAGAAAGCAATATAGCTAGATAGAAGGGTAGCTAGCCAGCCAGATAGATAGGTATCTAGATAGACAGACAGATAAAAATGATAGTAACCTTCCGTGCTTGTGCATAACACACAAACATATGTGCTTGTACGCTTGCATGTGTACTTGGTTGTACACACATCGAGACATGCAAACAGCTCCACCCTGACTGTCGAGTCGAGAGAGCACCGATCACAGGTCAAAACCAGGCAATTAGTGGCCGGTGGCTGAGCCTGCAGTCGAAACGATTCGTTCCTGGCTCCTGGTCAACTCATGCTCGGGGTTCTCAGGAAAGCACTGTGTTCTGCATTGCCGACGGTCCGAGCCCAGAGCATGCAAGGGGCCAAAGGTATCGAAGTACGCACCGGAGCTCTTTTCAGGAACCGGGCGCCCTCCGTCGAGGACTTCAGCACGCCACAGCCTTGTCCACATGCATGTCCATTCCAGGGTTCTGAGGCAAACCGTACGACATCTGACAGTTGAAAAGAAACTCAGCCCGATCTCCGGAGATGCAAACCAAGTGCAGCAGGTGCAAGAGCAAGCCAAAGCTGAAATTGGCATGCTACACGCCCACTAATTCCGTTGGCCGATGTAGCGGGCACTGCCATTCGCAGCATACCTCCCTCTGAGGAATGGCACGTTCGTCAACGGAGTTCGTCTGCGACGAGGCCCTAAACCCTAAACTGCGATATCGCCTGCGAAGGCTGCTCTTTCACGGTTAGCATAAAAAGGTTGCGATAAGGCTTGCTTTTTAGCGGGACTCCTGGCTTTACCATAAGGGTTACACATTTAGGGCCAGAAGGGTCACCAAACCACGAGGGCTGCGAAGAGATGGAGAGGTCAAGAGCAGGAACTTCGAGACGGCGACTCCGTCACACTGGCGCCACCTCTGGGTGAGTTCCTTAGAGATGTATCCTCTCCATGAGAATCTCGGTCTTCGCTACCAAAGTCATAAGGCAGAGTCGATTGTCTGAGATTGCCATTGGTGCTGAGGCCCCCTGACCTTCCAGCTGTTCATGGAGGCCCTTTGACCCTAAACCCTAAACCCTACACCCTAGACCCTAAACCCTAAACATCGCAGAAGTGGCCCAAGAACCTGAGCCTTGAGCCCTAAAGCGGAAAAGAACCCTCAAGCAAGAGCCCTAAACCTACACCCTAAACGCGGGCACTGGTAAAGAGCCTAAGCAAAACATCCCAGACCCTAGACCCTAAACCCTAAACCCTGAACCCTAAACCCTAAACCCTAAACCCTAAACCAGCCTTTGTCTCAGGCCAGAGAGAGCAGACAGGGCCTGCGAAGATCGGGGGCCCCCAGCCAGATGGAGCAGGCGGAGCAGCCCGAAAGAGCCGAGAAGGACCAGCTGGGCAGTGAGGCCAGCATACGTCATAGACACCATGTAGACACATGTTTATGTTAATATGTACATATACACCTCGTATATATATATATATATAGATATACATATGTATATATATATATATATGTATAGCAATATCATGTATGTGTTCGGATTTCCATTCATGGCTTACACACATTGTGTGTCTGTCTGTCGGCCGGTGTGTCTGTATGTATGCATACAGGTGTGTATGGTGTACTGTGTCGTGTATAGTGTAGTGCAGTGCAGTGTAGGTATGTTGTATGTATGTATGCATGCATGGATGTATGTATGTTTGTATG